AGCCCTGATGGGTGAGGCCAGAGCCGGCACGGGGGCCAGGTTGCCAGCGGGGGGCAGGTTACAAGCTGGTGCTGAGCAAGGGGAAAAGTGGCCCCACCCTCGCCCCCACCCTGTGACTGGTGCCCCACACTGGAGCTGCTCGTAGCCCACGTGGTGTTGCCTGTGCATGCTCAGGACAGCCCTGCTCAGGCTGCGAGTGGCTGCAGCAGGGAGTGACAGCCATGGGGCGGCGGAGGGACTGCTTTTCTCTACGCTCAGCACCAGCTGGTTCCCTGCCCTTTCCACCCCCCCCCTTACCTGTGCAGCCATGAGGAGCCACATGGTCCCAAGCCAGAAGCCCCTGCTGGGGCTTCCGGCTGGGGGGCGGACCAGGTGGGCCCTGCTGTTGCAGGAGTCCACTGGGGCTTCTCCTGGGTCCCACTGCCCCAGGTTCCTGTAATCTTTGACAGGAACCAAGGACAGATAAATATTCATTTTCTATTTTTTTTAGGGGCTCCACGGGCTGGATAGAATGGCCTGGCAGGCTAGATCCAGCCTGCAAGCCATATTTTACCTACCCCCGGTCTAACTCATGGCATTTTCTGTGAAGCGCCATGAGTTAGACTAAGAAGCTGCACATCTACCAGTACCCTGTATGAACATATGCTGAGAGAATCCTTTCCTTCAACTACTGTTAATCTAAATAGACAAGAGGGGGGCAAAGGATCAGAGGCAGAATAACTTACCCAAGGCCACATGGCAGTTTATCAACACGGTCAGGAGTAGGGATTAAGGCAATATACCCAAGCTTTTGGTATGTGGGGCACACATTTTTTCTGGATTAAAATTGGTGGAAGACTTCACTTCTACACCTGATAGGGGAAAGTGGTGGTGGTGGCGTGAATGCAGTTTGCAGGTGCCCAGTGGAGCTCCCCAGTGGCATATTTTGACAAGCTTTTACAGAAGCAGGATATTGGCTGCCATGGTCCCCCTGCTTTATCTGTGGCAGGTCTTGTGTCAGGGCTGACTGTAGTTTTATTGGTTAGATTACGGATTTGTATGGGATGGTTTGGATAAGAATGATCCTGCCCTGGGCAGGGGCCTAGATTAGATGGCCTCTGGAGGTCCCTTCCAGTCCTACTTCTCTATGTAGTAGGCAACTGTTGATCCTTCTGGATCATGGTGTATTTGTGAGCGGTCACCAGGACCTTCGATGTGTACACTTAAGCAGGAGCATGGAGGAGTGGAGGCCTCAATGGCTATAGTTACATGCATCTGGGACTCAGACCCAGGTCTTCTGCATGGCAGACAGGGATTCAACCGCTGAACCACAACAAGTGGCTACTTCTGTATGATTCTGTGATTAAATATAGAACATCATTGTGACTGGTTTGTATCACACTTTAATTTAAATATTTGGCATGTAGGTGCGCAGGAGCTGTTCCCTGATCCCAGTCACCCTTGGCCTGGACCTTTAAAAGGCAAAGATGCAGCTCATCTGCATATGTACTTGTAATGGGGGGCGG